ACATGGGATAATCGTCACTGATTACATCACATATGTGCATGCTGGAGCGTACACTTTGAGAAGCTATGCCATTGTCGATTACCCGGAGAACCCACGACATGCAAGGAGCCCGTTCTAGATCCTTATAATGTAGTCTAAGTCTAAGAGTATGTTGCGCACTTATCCACTAGTATGTTAATTGGTTTTTGGAGAAAAGCAAACAACTGATAAACATGCGCCTTATCTTGTTTGCGATCTCTGCAGCATTATATACTTGAAGCTAGAGTAGCTTGTACGGGTCACCTTTGAGGCTTAGCGTTCGGAAGCCTCGGGAAAACCCTGATGAAAGCCTGTCAACCCTCTCTAGATCCCCTCTTCTGTGTCGTTCTAATTAAACTTAAGCCCTAAAGCCGTCGTTCCTGCAAAGCCTTGAGGCAGCTGTAGCCCAAAGGATCCAACTCAAGCATATGGTCATGCTTGAGCAAGACGTGCCACCGGGGGAGTGCGCGAGTTGAGCATTTACGTGTTGAGATAAAGGAGTAGGCATTGTAATTGTAGCATGGAAATCCGTCCATACTCTAGAATAGAATTTATGGGGCTCAACTGGTGTGCGCACTGTCCCTGGCACGTGTCGGCTGTCCAATGCACGGCGACGGGAAATGCTCAAGCTTCTGACTGCGTTTGAGTAACGCTGTGGCCTGCCTGGGGGGTGCCTTCACGCGTCTGCTGTTTCGATCCGGCTGTACTCGTGCTTCCATGCACAGCCGGAGGCTCTTAGCAGTGGCAGCATACCCGTCTGCTTAGGACAAAATCCCGCAGCTCAAGTAACGTGTGCTGCAACTAGTCCTGAAGTTTCTGGAGCTGAAATCCGAAATCAGAACCAGTAAGTGAGAGCCCTTGCGATCAGGCAATAGGAATTGAATCAGGCTCGTGTGGAAAAGCACAAATACTTCATAGTGGATTCAGGGGTGCAAAAAAAATGTTGGCATCAAGCAGGGCGACTTATCTCACAATGGTGATTTCAACCCCCTAAACCCTAAACCCCAACTAGTTTGCTCTGTTTCCCATGTCCGCTGGCGGCTACAGATTCGGGAGGGGCTCGGTGTTGGAGAACCCCAAGATGTGCTTCGTGTGCAGGGTTTAAGGGGTTAGGGTTTAGGGTTTAGAGGTTAGGATTTAAGTTGGTTAGTTCTCTAAGTTAGGGTGCCTTTTCTAAATAAGGGTGCCGCATTCCTTGTGGGTTCTTAAAAAAGGGACCCTAATTTAGAGAAGTACCCAAGTGTTTCCACTAGGCAGCATAAGAGCTTCCTATCGAAAGCCTTGAGACCTGGCGGAAATCTTGAGACTTAAACCCTAAACCTCAAAAACCTACTAAACTTTAAAACCTTAAAACCCCTAAACCTGAAATCCTACAAAGCCTTAAGAACCATAATTACATCTTATAAGCCCTAGGCCTTAAAGCCCTAAACCCCGAGCGTTGTGCGACGAAAGTCGGGCAGGCCTCCCGCTGTGCCAGCCACGGATTGCTATCTTTCTTAAAGCAGCTGCAGCCGATGGTCTCGCGTTGTCACATCCACGATTTACTAAGGCGGTTTTGACGATGTTTCGGGATTGGCGTCTAGGGCTTACGATCTGAGGCTTGCTGTAAGACTTGCTGCCCAGCGGTTGTTCCGGAAGTTGCGCGAGGATTTAGCAGAATGGAGGTTCAGGAAGAGGCGGTGGTTCACAGACAATAACTGTCTGCGATTACAATGTCAAACACGGTCGAAGCCTAAGCACTTCATATCCCCACACATTCGTCGCTGCCTTTCAGCTGTCGTCTTCTTCCTCAATCCGGCATCGCAAAACCTACACCAGTCGCCTCAACCCTACATTGTAAATAAACAAACAAATAAATAGATAGATAGATAGGTAGATAGTTTGCCAAACTCCGGACACTTAAATTAAACCAGCAGATTTTAGGCTTTGGTTTGGGACTTCAGGGGTTTTTGAGATTAGCGACGTAGGACTTCGAGTCTTGGACAGCGAAATTTGCAACTCTGCGCAGCTGCTCGGGATCCCAGGCAAAGCAGCCATTAGACCACAACCACACGCCGCGTCAAACTGAAAAGTGGGGGGAGGGAAGGGGAGGGTATAGGATTTTCGGGTGTAAAGGGGGGTTAAGGATGTATGCTTGATTGTCTGAGTAGGCACTTCCGAAGGGGATGTAGGGTTCAGTGTGAAACGTCTAGGAGGTCTAAGATGTTTCGGGTGGGGGCTGTAGGTTTGCGAGGTTGGGTGGGAGAGCTGGCTTTCACGGTCTTGTTGCAGGTTTAGGATTTTGCGGCTCGCCCGAAACCTTCTCCTCGCCAGTAATAGCTTCTTCTCTCCGAGCAACATGTAGAAGTCGGAGACCAAGATCAAGACCAACTAATAGGGGCCTGAATAACCACCGATCCTATTCCTTGTAGGGGTCCTTATCATAGGTAGGCTTTAGTTGCTGCAGTTGTTATCGTTTAGGGCATAGTCTTCAGATACGGGCTATTGAGCTCTTTGTGTCACGTTGTGTGGATCAGCAGGGTGGGGCTCCGCTTCACGAACAGCCGGATGCCGGCCAGGAGGGTCGTTTTTCAAGGGTGCACTTTCAGTTTCGTGATGGCATACCTTTCTCTGCCGGGTCCAAATACAATCAGCATCGTCATATTGCTTTGGGGGATGTATTTGGCTCCCGTGTTTTCTGAAACTTCCAGGCCTCTGCAAAGAAGGGTGCCTTCGAAAGAACCGTAACTGCCATAGTTTGGCAAGGTTTTCCCGGTGTCTTGCTGTAGCTGTCGAGTATCTCTAAGGTTTGGAGTTCGGAGAAATCAAGGGAACCCTTGAGGTGGAAATTTACGAAGCTGTTGAGGCTGTGAGCATCCTCAATGTTTAAGCTGACCCCGAACCCCAAGGCTCCCCAAACTGCCTGGGCCTAAACCCCGAACCTGAAACCTTGATGACTCGATCCCCGGAATCCCCGAAATATGTCAAGCAGACTGGTGCCGCAAGCCACAGAAGCTCCGGAAACTCGACCAGAAGCCCTCAACAACAAGCCTCTCCAATCCACAAAGCCCTATGACCCGTCATGGACCTTTAACTCTACAATCCTATTGACACCCTCACAAGCTGTTCTCCCGTCACCATGCGGCTTTTCGCTGTACTGGCCGCACACGGGGCTAGCGCCGTGCCAGGAACTGCGTCTTTGCTTCCTTTGGTCTTTAGCGGCTGAGGTGTTTTTAGATTGGCGCCTAAACTTTGTTGTGCAAGCTTTTAAGTTTTAAGTTCTTTAGCAAGCATTGTTGGAGATTCATCAAGGCCCTACGACAACGTAGGCTATGGCAGGTTGAGGTAGGCTCATTCCGTTTTCGGTTCTCTCGAGTTTGGACTTTGGGGCCTTACTGATTTACGGCCTCGCAGGAAGCCAGAGCATCGGGATCGGTACGCTTCAGAGTCTAGGGACCTGCTCTTCATGTGGCTTAGGGGTTTAGGGTTCAGGCTTGGGGTTGTTCTTGGTTTTAGGTGCTGAAGGTTCTAACTTCAAGTTTCAAGCTTGATGTTGTGAGGCTTGCGGTTCCCTGAGTCATGTTTCGTCTTCCACGTTCAGGTTTCTGGCATGCAAGGGAAAGCTTGTGGTCTTTTGAAAGAGGTGGTTGTCCTCATTACAATCAGGAGACCCCAGTTGCGGACGGTGCCTTTCTTTTGGAAGGGGGGAGGGGGGAAAAAGCGATGAGCTTCGGAGCCTTTCAGCCCAGTGTGTCATACCATGGAGCTAAGGCATTTACCTGGCCGAATGAACCCCCTGCTGACATCCCCTTCGAGCGCAGCGACCTCTTTACAGAGGCCGCCAGCAGGATGTAGGCTCTCTACAGCTTTGGGGTTTTTGCTGCCTAAACCCTAAACCTTAAAGCACCATAAGCCCTAAACCCCTAAACCCTAAAGCCGATTTGCTTTGAAGCTTCAGGGCCTCAGGACATTGCAGTTACAGCTATGTTATGGCCCTACTCGTCTCGAACCCCATCTCCTGACTAATCTAGTTTGTTAGCTTTAATCATCAGGTAGGGCTCGGCTCATCTTACAGGCACAGAGTCGATTCGACGCAGCCCACTGGCTTGCATCTAGTTAAAATCTGGAGCGGGAAAGCCAGAGTACGGTCAGTATGCTCTAGCCGCAACGTACACCTCACATTCGGCTGAACAGACATCTGACTCGACCCCCAGGTGCAGATGCTGTTGCGCGTACCCGGCACCGTAGCAAAAGCCGCATCGCAAACAGCACCTTGCACCCAAACCAAAAAGGAGGCAAACCACGACCACATTCAGCCACTTCACAGGTCACTTCTTCGGACCTCGGAAAGTGCAAGGTATTCCTCACGGGTATCGTATGAGGCCATCCCTGCACAAAGTACATACCCTAGATGTCAAAACACCTTGGAAGAGGTGATATAAGGACATCAAACAATCAAGCGCGTGGCAATTATTTACAGGTCCACAGCACAACAAACCACTGCAGCTTGGCGCCTATTCGTCTAGGGACGAGAGGGAGGCAAACAGCAAAACAACACTCCACACGCTTGTCAAAAGAACTGTGCCCACTCAAGACACGCGTGTATAGCGTGTATACAAGCAAACAAGCCGAGCAAAATAGAACCAAACTGTGGCTGACGAAAACTTCTATGCTACTCGTCGGCGGTGTCACTTCAGTGCCGTGTGTGAAAAGCTTCGATGTCGAAGGCAATCGCGAAGAGACTGTCTTGATTCCCAACTCCAAACATGCCACGACAGAAAGCGTGGCACAGACCGTGATGATGGCAATCACCACCGCGGAAGCGCACCGCGAGGGCTGGTTTCCCAATGCTATTCCTTTTCACCTGCATATATGCACCAGAATGGGGTCCACTGTGGTTCGAAGTTCCTTTTGTGAGCTAGTTTGGTGGCCAGGATTCGGACCAAGATTCAATATCAAGCTGTGGGACCCTGCTCTTCTTGTACAGTGTAGTGTAGGGCCTCATGCAATTGATTGGGACCCCTACAGCTCACGACGTCGATCAGGTTCACTTCACCGGTCGCTATGCCGCCTACGCCGGCGCAGCAGCTTGAAATGCAAGTTCTTGGACCCGAGCGCCAGCAGTACCCCACACCCACCTAAGCACGCAACCCCTTAGCTTGAACTGTAAACATCTTGAGTTGAACATCCCGAGCTCGAAACCTTCTGCCCTGAAAGGCTGGGTGCCCGGTTTATCGGGCCAAGCCCTAAAGCCCGCTTTCATTGGCCCAAAAGATCCTGGGTGTCAGGACACTTGGTATCCCAGCTGGTCTTCGGATGGCGACCTCTACACGCCCTGGACGGATGGTAAGGTCGGCAGCATCCGAGCATCCAGCGCTTGCGCAGGAGCGGTTACAGGGCAGGGGGGGTTTCGGAGTTTCGCGAGTTAGGGCTTTAGGGGTCAGGGCTTTGGGCGAGAGGGTTTGGGGAGTTGGCGGATTAGGGCCTGAAGGCTTTTAATTAGTTAGTCTGGGACTTAGGGCTGCCGGGTTGAGGGCCTTAGGATTTGGGAGTCCTAAAGGTTTTGGGTTTAATAGCTGTGATGTGTTGGCCAGGAAATCCTGGAACAGCAGAAGCAACCCTCAAGAATGGGATTTTAGGGTATTGAGCTTGTATCAACGCAAGAATTCGACACCCCTTTCTCCTATTGGCGTGCTTGTTGCAGGGGCGGCCTGCATGTCCACCACCGGCTTTGCCAGAGTTTCTGGAGAGGATCCTTTCAACCTGAGTATCAAGGACACTGAAGGGCTTGCGAGGTTGTGATCGAGCGAAATTTTGCCCTATTGACCCGATCTGCCTGACGCTCTCACCCCTAAATTCCAAGTTCTAAACGGCAGAATGACTTGGGAGGTTGCGCCGTGGAAGAACGCAAGACTCTGAAAGCCTGGGAAAACCCTTATGAAGTCCTTGTTACCCACCTAGAAACACTATGGAATTTCGTGTAGAACCCTACAGAACTCTTCTCAAACCCTTCGCAGCCAAGAGGATGTCGGCGTTTTCGAATCGTCCCCTTCGCCGCACCTTGGGCTGTTCGTGCGGTCGGGCTTTCTCAAAACTTGTGTAGGGATTTCGTTGACTCATCAAGTTTGCTTGGGAAAGCGGAATTAAATCTGGCGTTTAGGGATTCAGGATATGGAGGTTCGGATTTTAGGCTTGCACTGAAATCCTAAGTTTTATGAATGGCGTAGGGTTTCGGGGTTAGGGATATGGTGTCGAATTGAGTCTGGCTATCGTGTTTAAGTACTTCTTGTACTGTGGCAAGACACGGAGTGACTTACAAAGCTAAATCTACTCTGAACCCTATAAAGCCTAAAGCCTCAAACCCCGAACTCTGATCAGGTACCATGGCCGCTACCCCAGTGCTTCGCTGCACTATGACGGTGTCTGGTACTACGGGACATATGCACTGGACAACGACGCTTGCCACAAGTAGATGTCCGGATTTGGGTTTGGGGGGGGTACGATGTCATGTCCTCTCTGGGTTTTGATCTCCAAGCACGTAAACATCTCGGGAGGAGACCTCAGACATGTCCAAACCGAAAAGCCCTAGATTCTAGATGCCCAAAAGCTCTATCTCTGAGACCCATCGTTCCCAAAGCCCGCTAGCCTTACGTCAACCCCTAAACCCACAAGCCCGTAACCGCCCGAGCCTCTCAACCCTCGAAACCTCAGTTTCATACATTGCTCAAAGCCCCAAAAATCCCAAAAAAGAAGTCCAAACCGTAAACGCCCCTCATCCCAGTCCTGGTGTAAAAAACCCAAAGGAACGACAGCTCTGCGAGGAGAACCACGAACCCGGTGCTGCGCCCGAGGAGTCTTCGGAGAGCCAGGAGGCGGGTTCTGTCTAGGAAGTCTGGAGTCTCTATCAAAGGGAGGCTTAGGGTTTAGGGTTTAGGGTTCGGGAATATATGGAAGGTGGGAGTAATCCTAACAGTTAGGGGTCCTAGCATGAGTGGTTTCAGGGTCTTCAGGATCTTGTCTGGGGAGTCTCGGGATTAGGGTTTTGGGATTTCGACGATTGGGCTTTCAGTTGTGCGGTTTGGGATTTAGGTTTCGAGTGTCCCGTCCAGAAGTAGGGGTGTGCAGGTATTTAAAGATGGAAGGTTCGAAGTAGGGGCCAACATTGCCTGAAGGCAAAGTACGGGGCAACCCGGCCCAAGTCATCGATTCTCGGGTTTGGGATCATGTTCCGGCTCGTGTTGCATCTTGCCGTAAGTTCTTGAGCCGCCACCGCTGCGAAACACAAACTAAATGCTTCAAGCCTCATAAATCCGAAGCCATAAGCCCTTATAGTCCTCAAACCCGAGATGTTCGCGCCGGGGACCCGAACAAGTAGGTGGAATGCTTTCTGGGAACATGCAGGCTGCTGGCAAGCACCAAACGGGGGGCTACTGTGGCAATTGGTGCATCTTGGGCACAAAGTTATCTTCCATGCGCACGGCTTCATGAGCAAACTCCGGGGCTTATAAGGGCTGGGATTAGGGTTTAGGGTTTAGGGGTTTAGGCCTGGCCGACTCCTGTCGCTTTCCACATATATTAACCAGCATCATTCTACATCTTCACGGCTATAGCGGCCTCCCAATTTCCAATGCCATCCTATGCACCTACACCCGCAAGCCACAACCCCAACTTCTCAGCCAAAAATCCCGACACCCTACACGAGAATTCCACAGCTCTGAACCCCAAATCCGAAACCTTCAATCCAGAACTGTGAGCACCAGGTATCCAAGGGCCCTTCGTCGGGTTCCGCTGGAGCCGGGATGGAGGCAAGACGTGGGAAGAGCCTTCGGTCGAGTTTTGAAGTAGGGTTTTACATGGTTTTTACTGTTGTAAGGGGGCGTACAGGGGTTTTAGGTTGGCTTTAGAACCAAGGCTGCCTAATATACTTTGAAGCTTCGGGAATCGCTGTTGAAGCTGGGGTTTCAGGGTGTGGCTTTGGGTTTGAGATTTCGGTTTCGTCGTCGCGTGCTGGGTGTAGACCTTCGCAGCAGCCGGAAGTAAACGGAGCATGTTCTTTGTCGAGTGGGTGCCCCAAGCCCTAGGCACTAAACAACACAGACCCTAAAGCCTAAACCCAAGCCTCAGCTGCGATCCTCAAAGTTGAGTTCAAACAAGAAGAACTCAAAACAGAGGATAGCTATGCGGAGCTGCCGCAATAGGTTCGATTCCTTGCTGATAAGCATCTTCGAGTGCTCATGGCATGACGGAGGCAACAAGCTCCTTGAATAAGCTAGCCAGCACGCATGGCAGCATTGGATCATGCAGCAAAGCAACTGCTGTTGTGAGGCGGGGCGGGTGGAAGGGTAGAGTAATTTCGCGTCACAGAAGGTCATTGCTCGCAAGTTACTATATCCTGTGCAGGCGCAGCCCCTTGACTTTACGGCCCCATGCTTCGAACCCCTAAAACTTAAACCTTTCACCCCAAGCCTGTAAACCCTGAGCGATTTGAGCCATAAACGCTAGATCCGAAAGCCCCACAGTCCTAAACCCTAAGCCCCAGACTCGGGATCCTAGAATCCTAAAGTCTAAGCCCTACCCATAGGCTCCTTAGTAGGGCATTGCCTGGATTGCCTTATAGGGTTCTAAATATGAACCACAAAAAGGAACTACTTAGGAGCCTATGGGTAAAGCCCTAAATGCGAAAGCCCGGTAAGGAGCCTCGGAAGACGATGGCGAACTACTCGGACAACCTCTTTGGCGAGGCCCAGCTTGCCGTTTACAGACCTTTTGCAAGGGTTCCACAGGGTGCGAAGTGGGGTTCTAGACGGCTCGATAATTTAGTAGCTGAGTAGGTAACCTTTCAGTATGGTGCGCCCTGGCGGCGTCAATCTCTGTAACCTTTTGGGGCATATATATATATATACACACACACACATACATACATACATACATACATACATACATACATACATACATACATACATACATAGATATATATACATATATATATATCATCCTACCATATAATTAGTGGAAAAGGTTGCCATTTTGTGGGCTACGGTGCGCAGTCCCTGAGCTAAGGGAAGGGTTTGCTGATGCAGCCCTTGGGCTTCCGGTTTGGCAGCTGCAGCGGCTTTGGGGGTTTACGGTGTTTTTAGGGTTTAGGGTCCGAGTGTGGCGGGGTTTTTGGCACTACCACTGCTTGAGGGTAATTAACGGTTTTGGGCAAAGATCCATAAAAAGGCGATTTCTGCCCCATCGACAGTACTACACCCTGCATGCTGAACCCTAAGCCTTAAATTCTGAACCCTGCGGCCTTAAATCCTAAGCCCCAACGCCTTAAATCCTAATTGTTACACTTGAAAGCCTGTAATCCCACACCCTAGACCCTGGATCCCCACATCCTAAACCCAAAAACCCCAAACCCTAAACTTCGTACAGCTGGTGAATCCGAGAGTCCCTCCGCAGGCTGCGCCGAACAATCGCAGCAAGGCGCGGATGGGTCCTGAGGAGTGGCGGTTTAGGGGTTGAGGGGACTAGGGTTTAGGGGTTAGGGTTTAGGGTAGTTGAAGTTTCATGGGTAAGGGGGTTTTAAGGAAGGCATTTGGGCTTTAAGGCATGGGGCTGGTTCCATTTGGGTTGAGGGTTTGGAAGCAGGGCTTCATGCAGAACCCCCGCCTTCTTTAAGGGCCGAGACTAAGATAGCAGATAGCTACGATTACAGCATGGTGGTCTATGCAACAAGCAATTGAAGTTCCACGGGTACTCTGAACTAGGGCCCTTCCGAGGACCGCCTTATCCAGCGCGTGTAAAGGATTTGGGTTCAGGGTTTTGCGTTTACTTGATAGGCCCTTGATACATATGAGTAGGGGTTTACAAGCAAACGAACTGCAGATGTCATCACTTGGAACCCAAGTTGGACGTGTAAGAGTACTTGTCTTTGTAGGTTTGCATCTTCCGGGTCTTTGAGCAACATGCCAACGAGGAATCGAATTTCGGACTTTTGGGTTGTCAGATTGCAAAGTAATTAGGGCTTAGGGGGTGTATGGCTTAACGTTTTAAAGCTCGGGGTCAAACCTGTGAATCCTAATTCTTCAACCCCATGGCATCACTCGAGCCTGGCAGGTGAAGTTCGGGGCGCCGCCGCTGGGGCTGCAGCGCGCAGAGGGAGGGCTCGTTGAGGGAACCTGGCAAGTGGGGTTTTGGATAAACCTTGTCGTCTCGAGTCACAGTCTAACCTGCACCCAAACACGAAAGCTTTTCCAACACGCCAAAATTCTCTGAACAACAGTTATGGTATCGAAATACCCCATAGCAAGAGCCCCCAGACGGATGAACTCAGAGAGCAAAGCTTCCCCGAAGGCACGTGGTCGACCTTGGCCAGAACTTGGCGCACCAGCCGAATGGTGCCTCTGATCCAAGGCAGCCCGGTCGTCAAAACTAGGCTCCTCTTTGAGGGCCTTGTCAAGCGATCTCTGCGGGATTTAGGGTTTGGGAGAGGGCAGTCACAATCCGAACGGCTCAGCTCAGTCAGTGCCCTCAACGCCTTCTTGCAGGGACTAAGTAGACTCCTGTATAAGGGCCCCGTCAAGACCCAAGAAGGCTGTGCCTTTTTTCCAGAAAGGCGGTAGGTTTTGTGATGTATATGGAGGTCATCTTAGCACCGAAAGAAGGGGGCTCTTCCAGGTTCTCCTGTCGCACCAGTCTGCCCTCTTTAGCTTCTTTTCTCTTATTCTGGGGTCTCCTGTTTAGACAGGCTCTCCCCCAGTCAAGAGGTTTCTGGGAGGGTCCCCTTGGTCAGATTTGAGTAAGGCGGGAAAAGAATATGCCTAGTATGAACTAGCAACCCCTAGTGGTCCAGCAACCTCATACTAGTAAACATAATGTCGAACCTCAACCCTCGAAAAAGTAGCAACCTCTACGACAACCAAAAGAATAACCCAATACTTCAGACTCAGAGCACAGCTTACCTGCAACTTTAAACCCCCGAACCTAGTGGAAGAGCAGGTAACCTTTAACATTCTTTGGGTACTCTAAACCCCTACTAAATCCAGATATTCTCCCAAAAGGTTAACCTTTAGTTCCCCAGGATACTGGACAAGTTGGCAAAAAAAAGAGCCCAACCCCTAACCCCTAAACCCTAAACCCAAACCCCTAAACCCTAACCCCCAAAAAACCCTAAACCCTAAACCCAAACCCGCCTTACGGGTCGGAGACCCCCCAAAAGCCAGGCTCTATCTCGTGGGCCACGGGGCCTCGGCTCCGATGTCACCGACCTCCTGGATGCAAGGCTCCGAGGTCTACCTGGCAAGAGAAGCTCAGCTGAGAGGGCTTTAGGGTTTTTAGGGATGTTGGGTCTTTTTTTTGGGGTTTAGGGGTTTAGGGCTTAGGGATTTGGGGGATTTTGGGGTTTAGGGTTTAGGGATTTGGGGGATTTCGGGGTTGTTTTCCTATGGGTTCTACTTTGCAAGAAGGGGTTTCAGGCTCTGAGGTCTATCTGGCAAGAGAACCTCAGCTGAGAAGGTTTAGCTGTGTTTAGGGAGGGCTTTGCTGGTTGGTGTCGGGATCAATTTGGGGTGTAGGCCAAGAGAACCAGGACTGTTAGGAAGCTTCATTGACAGAGACGGTTTCGGGGGACTTGGGGTTCCTCTGGGTTTTAAGGCCCTGCTGTCTATCTGGCATGAGAAGCTGGGTTGAAAGAAACGATTTAGGGATCAGGGTTTCATGACATAGCAGCCTGTAGAATTTGGTTTTACTGTGGAAGACAGTGTGGCCTGTCACTAAGACTTTGGGTGTGCGATCTGTTGCATGTATTTTGCTTTTATCGGGGGGAGGAAGTTCGGACTCAAGGGGGGATTATTCTAGTATGAGTATATTGGGACTTGAGGTGTTTGCTGCTACAAATTACACCACACCTAAACCCGAAACCCTAAACCCTAAACCGTCCGTTTGTTGATGTCCTTGCCAAGGGAAGGCCAGATGTAGAGCGCATCAACGATGCTGCAGCGTGGGAGTTCTATGCTGGCCGCTTGGAGGCTCAGGGGACGTCGCAAGCTAATCTAGCCACCGTTTAGGGTTTAGGGGTTTAGGGTTTAGGGTTTAGGGGTTTAGGGGTTAGGGTTTAGGGTTTAGGGTTTAAGGGTTACTATGTTGGGGACCCAAAAAGGGACCCTAATTTAGAGAACTATCCATGCAGCCCACTGAGGAATCAATCCCCCTTGCCTCGGATAATGCCCCCAAAGAGTAACAGTTGAGTAACATTCATAATATGGGTTTATAAGGTCCTTACTCGTAGCCCTATTGTAGAATGTTATTGCATGGGGGCAGTACCCAACCCCATGCTTCAAAGCCCTTCATCCCTCGTATGGTTCCCAGAAAGGCGAGGGAGTTAATTTTATTTGGGGTCACGCCTAAGTTGCACCCGTTGTACTGCAAGCCTCGATCCACATTGCTAAAAATCCTCTAACTGTTGATCCTGCATTACCCATAATAGGGAAAATACCGTAATTCCCATAGGTTAGGGTCCTGAAGGTAATGCAGGATGTATATTATCAACAGCAGTTGTGTTATTCTTGTGGTGAGTATCCAGGGCAAATGGATCGGCCTTGAAGTCAGAGTCCTGGGGATTGAGGGAGTGGCGCGCTAGGGTTCAGGTTTTAGGGTTTGGGGTCTAGGGCGTCTAGGGTTTTAGGGCTGAAGCTCTTATCGTGAGTCATTGGAAAGTCGGAAGATGGGAGAAGTGTTGCACCGGAATCCTGGGTTTAGGGTTCCCTAAACCCTAAACCCTATAAACCCTACACCGGGCTACTTGTGAATCTCCGGCATTACGCCCCAGACCCTTAAACCCTAAACCCTGAACCCTAGACCCTGAACCCTAAACCCTGAACCCTAAACCCTAAACCCTGAACCGAGCCAAGGGAACGGCAGCTGGTCTCCTGGAGACGTTTCTCGCGCTAAGCCCCTGGTGTCATGGGGCAATCGCACTGGGGTCACCACCATCACCTACATTCCTGCCGTGAAGAGGCGGGTTTAGGGTTTAGGGTTTAGGGGTTTAGGGTTTTGGGGTTTAGGGTTGGGGTTAAGAGCCATGAAGTTTGGCTCTTCGGTTGTGAAATTCAGGAGTTGAGGGCTTTTGGGTTTGGATTAAGATAAGCACCGTCCCGATAAACGCATCTTCTCCGGATATCCAGTTTAAAGTATCTTGAGTGAAAGTCTCTACGACATAAGGATTCCCATTAATTTCGGAAGCGGCGCTGTTCAGGTTGTTGGCGTGTCACACATTAGATCTAGCTTTCGTCCTGAAGAGAATGTCACGACGAAGACCGTTTCAGCACAACGACTTCCACAAAACCGTGGTTTGTGGGGTTGGTGGTTGTCGGTTTAGTCTCAAGGTACAGGCGTAGAGTATCGACCTCTACCTGAAGCGCACGATCAGTAAGCCGTGTTGTTCGATAGCCGCGCCTTGATTAATTCTTCTGGGCCTGGGCCGGAGCATGCCGGAGCCGGTTCTGTCAGCAACATTGAGCAAAAGTCAGGTCACTACAGGTTCTGATCACGGTGCAGCAGTGCCAGATTAAGAAATGTCTTGAAGCCGCCTTTTGTTTCTGTCAGCCAGGTACATCATGTGCATTTCAACACCCACCTTCAGTCCATTCACAACAAAGCAGTTCGACACGTACCTACTGGAGAGTCCGAACATTACAGGGCCATTCCGCTACATCAGCTACCTTCGGGAGACTCGTCTGCCTTGTTTCCCACTTTGACCGCATCTTCCAGGCTGGAGTTGATTCTCCATATGCAGTAAGCCTGCCAATCTTACGCAGAAACTTTAGCTCTAAGTTCTTGAACCCCCCGTGCCCAAAGAAACGGATTTCAAGACCGAGACTTCATCGCTTGGGTACTGAAACGGGGACCCCTACTTCGACAATTCAGAGAGTCTCAGGCTTCTAAACCCTGAACCCCTAAACCCTAAACCCTACAGAGCCAAGGAGTTTGGCCCTGAAGCATACTTCGTGAGCATTCCCAGCAAGTTCCTTGCGAAGTCAACGGCCTCAGATGGCTCTCTTCGCCTCTTCCTGAGACTCGACGAGCTTACCCATAGGCCCCAAAGTAGTTCCTTTTTGTGGTTCATATTTAGGATCCTATAAGGTAATCCCAAAAAGGAACTACTATGGAGCCTATGGTTAGAGTTGCAGTGCTGCTTCCACGCTCTTGCTTTGGCCCTTGGCCGTAGGGCCAGGTTTAGGGTTTAGGGCCAGTTTAGGGGCTTTGGGTTTAGGGTTTGGGGGTTTGGGGTTTAGGGTTTTGGGGGTTTTTGGGTGTAGGTTTTAAGGGTTTAGGGGTTTAAAGGGTTTAGGGCTTAGGGTAGAAATCTCACAATCTCTCTCCCTCCCTCCCCTGCTAGGAGTGCGTGAGAGATTCAAAGGAAGACTCAAGCGAAGCCCTAAATGCTGATCCGAGCAAAAAACGCCGCTTGTGCTAGGACCCTGAATGAAGTGGAGGTCGAAAAGAAATATTTCACATCACCTCACCCATGAACACACAAGTCACTAAAGACTGTCACCCTTGACCCGGCTCGGGCCACAGACGCCGAGCCGTAAACACTAAACCCTACACCGATCCCCACTGAGGAGCTACTCCGCCAACTTCGCCTACCATAGCCAGCCGTCGCCTGCCGGCAGTGGCTACCACTGGACCTTGCGACTTGGGCAATGTTGGGAATCCTCTTCATTTTGTCTGGCTAGGGATTGTAGGAATTAGGGTTTGGGGTTTAGGGATCCCGTTTCATTCATGTTTTATGGTTTTGCACAGAGAACCCCTAAAAAAGGAGCCTTGTTTGCTTTCCTTCGTAGTGGGGACCAAGGCAAGAGGTGGAGCTGAGATTGGGCAAGAGCCAGCTGGTCGTTTAAGAGCCTTCTTGTAGCGCAGAGCTTCAACTTGCGTTTAAGGCTTAGGAATTAGGGTTTGGGGTTTGGGGTTTAAGGTTTAGAGTGATTGAAGGAAATTTTCTCAGAAACACCCAAGCCTTAAGCCATACAGCACCTGGGTTGGGAAGGGTCCAACACCTGAAGCTCTGGATCCTAAACCCTAAACCCTATAAACCCTAAACCATAAACCCCATAAGCCCTATAAGCCCTAAACCTGCCTTCCCATCGTAGACCTGCCCTCGTCCGACAGAATCGTCGGCCCGAGGGTTTCCTGTCGTAGCCGAGCCCTCGGGGTTTATAGGTTTAGGGTGTTTAGGGTTCAGGGTGTATAGGTTTAGGGTTTAGGGCTTATAGGGTTTATGGGGTTTATGGTTTAGGGTTTATAGGGTTTATAGGGTTTATAGGGTTTATAGGGTTTAGGGTTTAGGGTGTTTAGGGTTTATAGGGTTTAGTAGAGTTGAGTAGGGGAGTCTGGAACCCGCTGACAGCGGCCGCCGAAGTCGGAAGAGAAACCTGATTTGCCTGCCGGTGCATGCACATGTTCCCAAATATGGGTGGTTGAGAGCATGAAGGATAGTAGGAAGCTTCAACGGGAAGAGGGTTGTTGCTGTCTTGAGGTTCGAGGTTTGGGTATTGGGTTTGAGGTTAAGCGCAGCCCGTATACCTACGCCTTCTTTCAGAAGCTCCGTTGAATATTCCAGATACTAGCTGCTTGTCTTTGAAGATAGAGTTGTATGAGCTTCGGTCAGGGTTCAGCACATATTGAGGGAACATGTGGGATTCAAGGGTTTTGGCTTTTGCAAGCAGGGTTTGGTGGTAGGGCAGGGTTTGCATCAGGGAGTAACGAACCGGATTTTCATTTCGTATCCAGCGAGCTCCATGTTGTCGTTGTGTACGTAGCAGCACCAGCACCAGCAGCGCTACCAGAAGCTGTACTACGAACAGTGGAGGAGCCAGATCAATACACGAATGGATATGTTGCTGCAAAGACGTGCAATTCAATCCTTTATCTGCATTTTGACTGGAGCAGAACCTTTAGGGTTAGACTAAACTGCATCTTCGCATCTGCTAAAGCTGAAACCTGGAATCTGTAAACCTCCAGACCCTAAGCCGTCAGCTCGTTAACCCTTCGTAAACCTTGAACATCTAATATTCTTAAAAAGCCCCGAAGCTTTCAATTATGCACTATAAGCCCGAAAATCCTAAATCTGTAAAGCTTTATAAGCCCTGCTGCACATTGGACTGCTTCATCCTATGATCTCGCAGCTTTGCGTCTCAGAGACGTGGACTTTGTGGCGTGGACCAAAAGCCCAGAAAGTCATGCGAGCTCCATCCAATCCGAAGCCTTAAGTCAAGGGGGCCTGAACAAGTAGTGCTGGTATTCCGCAGAGGTCGATCGGCTGCTTGCCGGATAGAAGCGCTTAAAAGCCTATGATTATTCAGGCGCCATTCCAAACCCGCCAACAAGACAACGAATGATTCAAGCTCTTGTACCTAAACCCTAAACCCCTAAACCCTAAACCCCTAAACCCTAAACCCTAAACCCCTAAACCCCTAAACCCCTAAACCCTACCTTACACCTTCGACAAAGCCCTCGCCATGGGTCCCGAAATCGGCGCTGCAGAGCAGCTGACCGACGCGATCACATCCGTGTTGGCGCAGATCCAGGCGAATATGGGGCCTTTGTGAGTCTCATGGTGGTTTCGTTCCAGAGGGGTGTTGTCAAGAAAATAGATCCACAAAGTATTTCCAATCTTCAGGCAAGGGTTTATGGGGTCCGTTATTGTTCCAGAAAGATCTGATATGGGTCATGCAGGGGCTTCTACGAGCGCCATGATCCTTTTCATGTGCGGGGCTACCGGGATATCGGGTTTGGGCCCCTTGACATACATCTCAGTCCAGTAGTAACCTTGGTCAGCACCACTCACTCCCCGTCTCAAAATTGCAGAACTTGTGGCTTGAGATACAGCTTGAAGGCTTCACCAGAGAGTGCAGACACGCCACTGGGCCATGAATGGTTGTGGCTGGGGAGTTTAGACTTAACATGGAATGCAGTCCAACTACCATTTTACGTACCAGGTAAGCTTGGTGGCTGAAGGATACAGTTTCTTGACCCAAAGCGCATCTGCGTGCCCCAGATGGTCTTGGAGCCTGGCGGCTTAGGGCTTTGAAGCCTCATCCGGGTATCTCCCTTCAGGTCCGGGCGGACTTACCTCGGCTCTCAAAATCCTTGACACAATGCTGAACCCTAAACCCCCAAAGCCCGAGCACTTGCCAAGACCCACCAGCCCTCAAGCCTGAAAACCCAGCTCCTGAGCCTCATCCAGAATTTCAATGGCGCCGAACCTCTACGAGTCTCTAGCTCCCGGATGTTTCTGCGTAGCAAAAGCAATCATAGGAAGAATCTCTAACTAGTGATCGTCGCTTTAGTTCCAGGATAGACAGCAGCACGACAGAAGTATCAGAGCAAGTGCAGAATAAGGAAAGTCCGCTTCTTCGGCCGGCTCATTGAAGCTCAGCGCGCGGCGCTGGAAGCTCACGGCCTTCCTTCCTTCGCCGTCTTTGAGGAGCCCTGTTTGGAAGGATATTTTTGGTGTAGGATTGCTTGGGGTTTAGGGTTTTGATTTTTACTACGGAGGTTCGCTGAGGATTTTAGGCCTTTGTGTTTGGGGGTCACATCCTGGCCCATAGTAGGGTCCTTATTGAGGAAACAAGCCCTTTGGGGTTAACAGTAGGTCACATGAAGAGCATAAGCTCGGGGATCTTCGATCTTGCAGCCTCAGGAACTCTGTCGCCAAGCTCCCGAGGAAGAGGACGTGCGGCAAAATCAGGGAAATATAGTATAGAGGCCTGAGCAATTTTTCACAGAATTCCGGAGAGCTAATGAACAGAATGACTTATATCAAGGTCCCTGTTCTAATCATCAAGGCCCCTGTATTAGCTTACATTGCAGTTGTTGCTCCAGAGTTAAATGGGGTTGTCTGCACTGCTTCTAATGCTGGCAAAGGATAGAATGACTATGATAGGGCGCAGATAGGGACTGATGGACCTTAATCGTATTATGGAAGTTTTCTATTGGTTGTTTCAGAAACCTCGTGACTTCGTGAAGTCCGAGTTCAAGAGACTGTAAAAGCCCTTCCCTTCCGAAGCTCAAAAAGCCAAAACGTGTTGAGATTGTACGAGAACTGTATCGACTGCTAGCGCAACGAATTTCAGGCACAAGGCACCGAAATCCAGATCATAAGTAGTAGGATCCTTATCAAACAAGGACGCCGCACTTTACCACATCCTGAGCAATGAGAACCCTAAGCTTGACAGCTGCGACCTCAAGCCACTACAGGACTGCAACCTCGCAACCCTGAACGTGAACCCTGAACCATACACACCACATCCCATAGTCTCAGCTGAAGATCTTCCCAGCCCAAACGGGCCCAAGAGCCCTCAAATCCCCAAATCCTGGAAACTGTATTCCAAACACCGAAAATCCAAGCTCGAGCCCCAGATTTATTTGTAGGGTTGAGAGAAGCCTTAAAGCCTACCAGTAGTCTCCATTGTAGTTCCGTTTTGGGGTTACCTTGTAGATTGTAGATCCGTAGTATAGAATTGGTTAAACCAGAACAAAGGAACTACAATGGAGGCTATAATGTAGAGGTCTGGCGTGTGCCCTCTAGAATTATACTGCTGACATGCCCCAACCCGTGTTCTGATTCATGAGCATCACACCTTCCAAGCACCGTTTTTTTTGACCGCTTCGAAAAAAAACACCAAATCCTACCAAGCAGTGTTCAACCAACCCCAACGGCACCTATAGCAGCTCACACAACCAGTCCGATGAAAACGAACAGCCCTAAAACCCTACACCCTAAACCCTAAACCAGCCATTGAAAGGCACCGGCCCTCAGTCGGTTTTTCCTGGCGCAAGACGCCTGGCGCCGGACCTTGGAGACCTTGGAGGCAGAGGCCAACCAAAAGGCGCGCGCGCGTGAGGATCGGGGAAGTCTGTGGCGTTTTTGTTTTTTGGTTTTTGGGGTTTATAGAGTTTCGGTAGGTTTAGGGTTTCGGGCTTAGGGTTTCGGTAGGTTTGGGGTGTCGGGCTAAGGGTTTAAGGCTTGTGGCCGATTAGGAGTGCTAGAGGCTCTGAGGCATCAGC